TGCCATGTGCCGCTATCCCATTAAAATGAATAAAAAGTCGCGACGTTTGATTAATCGAGGTGCGTTAAGGCTACTAAAGTTTAACCCTAACGGCTGCGATCTTCCAGGCCCGATTCCTTAGGAGAAGAAAGAGAAGTCTTGGGAAAGCAAGCTTGTTAGAAAGCGTATATTCTGTACAGAATGAATAGGAGCATGGACAGTAGGAATTTGACTATCAGACGGCCGCGCAACCGCAAGCCAGCGGACGGCATCTGATGTGAGGTCTGCTCTGCAGTCGTCACGTGAGATCCTGTGTGAGTCAGCCTGTGATTGGCTGTTACACAGGCCGGAAGCAGCAAGCCTCCAGAAAGTGCACTTCGACTTGAGCTAGTCACGACAGGCGTTCACAAGTGCACTTCACTGCAGATTCACCAATCAGAAGCGCATACGGCGCAAGCGGTGAGGAAACCTTGCCTATGACAAAACTGGCACTAGCATCAATCGTAAAGCGCAGACTATGCACCCAACAACCGAAGCTGGGTGGATGGTAGTGGTGGAGGTTAACTGCATCGCGGAAGCTGCAGTGCTTGCGATCCACGAGGCGCAGACTACTGTTCGAAAAGAAATACGCAAATAACCAGCAGCTCGCACAGGACATGGCGTCAGAGGGGGGCACATGAATTCAGCCAAGCTCCCCCGTAGGCTTAATTGATCAATTTGAAGATGTTAAAAACTGCAGGATTTATTGGATCCATGAAATCTCGGGAAAGCTCTTTAGTTGCTACATCTCATTCCATAATATGAATAATGAATGAGTAAATACAAAATTGAATTAGTACAGAAAGGTCAAAAAGGTCATAGGGCACGGTCGCGAGGGCTAATTAGTAAAGTAAGCGAGTTTAAACAATGTGGAAAGAAAAGACAGAGGAAAAAGACGTTGAGGCGAAAAGGTGGGCAGGGGACTGTGTAAATCAGGGAGCCGGATGTTACCAAAACAAAGCTGGGTTAACGACATGCTCCAATTGTTTACAGAGGTCGAATAGCAGCTGAAGAGCTCTCCCGAGATTTCATGGATCCAATAAATCCTGCTGTTTTTGCCATCTTCAAATTTGCACCTGGAAAACGTTGCTTTAATTGATCAATCATAACTCAAATCAGATTGAAGTGATAATCCTTGAACCTTATAATATGTTCTGCGCAAAAATGAGTATAAGCAGCCGATACTAGTATATGAAATGTCAGGGGTTTTATCACATTCCTCTCGACGAGCGCTTTCTTTGCACAGGAGTCTCAATTTTGACCGACCGACCGAAGTAGTTCAGAACTGAGTGGGTTGACAAACATTGTAGTTTAACACAACTTCAAAGTAAAATACGTAGCCTGTGAGCCCTTCCATAATTGAAATAATAGTGCTACTAATTTATCTACCTCGTACATTTTAGAGTTGAATCAGTTGAAACTGACCTTGCCTCAGTCATTGTGTCTGCCCTGCTGATGAATGTAGCCGATGGCGTCGCTGCGCTGGAGTCGACAACGATGATTCCTCCGGAGGAAAGAGTCATTTATTATGGCTATATTCGAGACAGTATTGAAGCGCTCTCCTGGTTTGACATCGACGTTAACGAAGCAAAACAAATGATAGCAGTCAGTCTTTTCGCCCGTTTTACTTTATTGCACTTTAAGCCACACGCATCTCATACTTCCGAGACTAATATTTGCACAATTGATGTTTATGACAGAGCTGTTCCGTCTTCACCTTCCCAATACGCTTTTTACACAAAGACTTAGACGTTTTGCAATAGGATTCGCACTCACAGTGTTTAAAATTGGAATTGTTTTGGACTTGCGGAAACTGAGCAAGTGCTTGTCCTGATAGGAAACCAGAAAAGGAGCCAACACCCACTCGGAGCCCTGTGCTTATTTTCAGTGAGTTTAATGTTGAGATTTAGGTTTAAGCTAAGATTAACATGAGGACTAGCTTCAAGGTCATGGGCAGGTTAGGAGAAAGGTTTGTGGTGGAGGTTATATACTAGGGTAAGGACACTCGAATAGTTGCATTTCCTCTAATACTGGGCGGGATCATTTATATATTACCTAAGCTGAGAGGGGGAGGATCCTCATTCAATTTCTTACTATTGTCCTCCAGTAAGCTTTGATATTCAGCAACCAATTCCGTTTTCAAAGCGATATCTTATCTACTAAATGGACCCCATTGTAGAGGCTTTATTGTTTTATAAAAACGTTGGCTTATCTATCGAAGTACACAACAACAATCCTGTGGCACATTGTTACAAAATACTAAGGGCTGCGAGCATGTGTAAAGATCATTTTTGTGGCCTTCTTCAATTAGAATTTTTTGTGTAAATTTAGTTTTTAATCATAGTGGCGTTCAGATAGGATTTGTTATAGCAATATTTTTTTGGGAATTGTTTGGAGCAAACATTTTTAAAAGATTTGAGAATAACTTAGCAAGCATGTTAAATTACCATCGTTAATGTCATTCTGCCTATATCATTAGCCGTCTTGCGGCGCGGCTTGAGAATGGACCCGAACGACACAAAAACGGGACGAGTGAATCCTTTAACCCATCAGTGAACGCCTACCTCCCAGTTTTTATATTCCCTATCGAAAGCAGTTTCAGTTAAATATTCCGGTCAGTAAACTGGTCAGGCATGTAGACTGTACATTGTCATATTAACCCAACTTTGAATGATTTTTAGAATAGGATTCATCCGAGAGTTAGAACAAAATGGTCTCCTAGGTCGCCCTGTATGCCGAGAGGACGAGCAAGTTCGGTTAAATTGCTCAACTTCCTGATGTGACTATGGTAGCTCAGAAGTAGAGCACTCGGCAAGGAATGCCGAAATTGGCGGTTTAACTCCGGAATTTCTTCTGTGTTTGTCAGTCCTCATTTCATATGTTCTGCCTTAACATGTGTTCCGATCATTGGCATTGGGTATTTTACCAAGCGCCCTACCTAGAGATGCATAAGACAAGGCTTTGAAGACCGAATTTGTAGCTGAATATCAAAGCTTACTAGGGGAAAACGGTAAGACATTGAACGAGGATCCCCCCTCCCAGCTCCGGCGATATAGATGATGCTGCGCAGTGTTACAGGAAATGCATGTATCAACGTGCTTTTACCCTAGCAAATAACAAACCTTTCCCTTAATCTTGCCCATGACCTTGAAGCCAGTCTTTCTGTTAATCTTAGCTTTAGCCTAAACCTCAACATTAATCTCGCTGAAAATAAGCACAGGGCTCCGATTGGGTGTTGGTTCCTTTTTTGGTATCCTGTCAGGACAAGCAATTGCTTAGTTTCCGCAAGTCCAAAACAATTCTAGTTTGAATCACTGCGAGTGAGAATCCTATTAAACAAAGGCTAAGTCAGTGAGAACGCGTGGACCGACTTCATGCATTACTCGACATTCTTGTCTGATACTTCTACTGGAACTTCCCCAAATCTTTTAACTAAAGCCTTCCTACTCTGAAAGTCGGCATCCAGATGCAACTGAAATATAACGTTATTAGAGTGCATGATAGTTAATACTACACCCCCGCTTACGTGAAATTTTCAAATTGAAAACGCATTTCAGGATTTCAGTTGACAGTTTATGAGCTAGCAAGTCTACTGTATATATGCTCCTCTGACGAATCTAAATTATTTGAAGTTCATGTTGAGTCTTATAACTCATAAGACAAACCTTATAAAAGGCAATCTTACTCTATGGAATGATTTACTCTTCTAATGGGCTCGAAGACAAACCAATGGACTTACCAAAACCTTTGTTGTATTTTCATTCCATTCTGAAGGTGTTCCTACTATTTTGACACATGCATTAAGATAATCCTGATTAATATGCTTTAGGTGCTTTCTAATCCGTCATTTTTAGTTTTGGCCTAGTTTATTTGTTTTAAACCTCTACTTAATTGATTTAAGTGGTTTTGGGACAATCGCAGAACCCTGTTATAAGACTTCCGAATAAAACTTATTTACTTAGTGTAACCGTAGGCTATAGACTGCTCATAGAATCCCGCTGTAAGCCCAAGTGTCAACTATTCAAGGGTTATTTATATGGTGCGGACTTCTTGAAAAAGGCCGTAAAAACGAGTGTCTAATGAAATCAATATTCCACGAACTAAATATGCTTATTTGTTAAAGCCGCACTCTTATCACTTTGCTTTAAGCGATAAAATAGAATATTTGTGAGAACCAGACAGCTAAATTAAAGAGCTCAAAAATTATGGGATGTGCGTTAAGAAAAGTGTCTAAATTGCCTCAAAGATAAGTTATTTTTAAAAGCAGTCTACGGTTTTGTCTTATGCTTGAACACTTGTCACGCGGCTAATATATCCTTCTTTTTAGCGTCATGCCAAATATGAAGAACAGGTCGGGGTGAGTCACGGGATTTTCAAATACGCCTGAGCATTTTCTCAACCGATTAATCCATTACAAGTTACCGTGGGCACAAAAGGGTGTGGTTTGAAATTATACGAATATAAATATTGATGCATCTCAGTGTTTTTGTGGAGGCCTTTGTTAAATTCGAATGCTTTTAGGTGTCTGGAAACTCCAAGATCAGTCGATGAATCCATTTTTTTAAAACGGCCAAAATGCTTCCATTAGTGCCTGCCTCCGTCTTCTGTGTGCTTACTCAATCCGTCTTGCAATATCTTACTTCGTTTATATTTCCTACTTAAGCAACAAAAACAGATGACTATTAACCACTATACGTATGCGCAATGTCGAAACCACGCAGCTCAAAATCATGCCTTGGAGTAAAATGATATAAATGCCGAGTCTATTGTAAGCTGTGCTGATAACCTTACTATCACGGGTACAAGTGGTTCTAAGAATAAGCAGTATTGAAGGATCACTCGGATCATGTCTCTGCCGTGTTTAAATTCTTTGCGTCTC